TATACTGTTTGTTTGCTGGTGTATACTGTTTGTTTGCCGGTGTATACTATTTGCCGGTGTATACTATTTGCTGGTGTATACTATTTGCTGGTGTATACTATTTGCCGGTGTATACTATTTGCTGGTGTATACTGTTTGCCGGTGTATACTGTTTGTTTGCTGGTGTATACTATTTGCTGGTGTATACTGTTTGTTGGTGTGGCCGGTGTATACTGTTTGCCGGTGTATACTGCTGGTTTGTTTTTGCTGGTGTATACTATTTGCTGGTGTATACTGTTTGTTTGCTGGTGTATACTATTTGCTGGTGTATACTATTTGCTGGTGTATACTATTTGCTGGTGTATACTATTTGCTGGTGTATACTATTTGCTGGTGTATACTGTTTGCTGGTGTATACTCTTTGCTGGTGTATACTCTTTGCTGGTGTATACTATTTGCTGGTGTATACTATTTGCTGGTGTATACTATTTGCTGGTGTATACTATTTGCTGGTGTATACTATTTGCTGGTGTATACTATTTGCTGGTGTATACTATTTGCTGGTGTATACTATTTGCTGGTGTATACTATTTGCTGGTGTATACTATTTGCTGGTGTATACTGTTTGCTGGTGTATACTGTTTGCCGGTGTATACTATTTGCCGGTGTATACTATTTGCTGGTGTATACTATTTGCTGGTGTATACTGTTTGCTGGTGTATACTGTTTGCCGGTGTATACTATTTGCTGGTGTATACTGTTTGTTTGCTGGTGTATACTATTTGCTGGTGTATACTGTTTGCCGGTGTATACTATTTGCCGGTGTATACTATTTGCTGGTGTATACTGTTTGCTGGTGTATACTGTTTGCCGGTGTATACTATTTGCTGCTGTATACTATTTGCTGGTGTATACTGTTTGCCGGTGTATACTATTTGCTGGTGTATACTGTTTGTTTGCCGGTGTATACTATTTGCTGGTGTATACTGTTTGTTTGCTGGTGTATACTATTTGCTGGTGTATACTATTTGCTGGTGTATACTGTTTGCCGGTGTATACTATTTGCTGGTGTATACTGTTTGTTTGCTGGTGTATACTATTTGCTGGTGTATACTGTTTGTTTGCTGGTGTATACTATTTGCTGGTGTATACTGTTTGTTTGCTGGTGTATACTGTTTGTTTGCTGGTGTATACTGTTTGTTTGCTGGTGTATACTGTTTGTTTGCTGGTGTATACTATTTGCTGGTGTATACTATTTGCTGGTGTATACTATTTGTTTGCTGGTGTATACTATTTGCTGGTGTATACTGTTTGTTTGCCGGTGTATACTATTTGCTGGTGTATACTGTTTGCTAGTGTATACTATTTGCTGGTGTATACTATTTGCTGGTGTATACTGTTTGCTGGTGTATACTATTTGCTGGTGTATACTATTTGCTGGTGTATACTATTTGCTGGTGTATACTATTTGTTTGCTGGTGTATACTATTTGTTTGTTGGTGTATACTATTTGTTTGCTGGTGTATACTATTTGCCGGTGTATACTATTTGCTGGTGTATACTATTTGCTGGTGTATACTATTTGTTTGCTGGTGTATACTATTTGTTTGCTGGTGTATACTATTTGTTTGCTGGTGTATACTGTTTGTTTGCTGGTGTATACTATTTGCTGGTGTATACTATTTGCTGGTGTATACTGTTTGTTTGCTGGTGTATACTATTTGCTGGTGTATACTGTTTGTTTGCTGGTGTATACTGTTTGCTGGTGTATACTGTTTGTTTGCCGGTGTATACTATTTGCTGGTGTATACTGTTTGCTGGTGTATACTGTTTGCTGATGTATACTATTTGCTGGTGTATACTATTTGCTGGTGTATACTATTTGCTGGTGTATACTATTTGCTGGTGTATACTGTTTGCTGGTGTATACTGTTTGCTGGTGTATACTATTTGCTGGTGTATACTGTTTGCTGGTGTATACTGTTTGCTGGTGTATACTGTTTGCTGGTGTATACTATTTGCTGGTGTATACTATTTGCTGGTGTATACTATTTGCTGGTGTATACTGTTTGCTGGTGTATACTATTTGCTGGTGTATACTGTTTGCCGGTGTATACTGTTTGCCGGTGTATACTATTTGCTGGTGTATACTGTTTGTTTGCTGGTGTATACTATTTGCCGGTGTATACTGTTTGCCGGTGTATACTGTTTGCTGGTGTGTACTGTTTGCTGGTGTATTACTGTTTGCTGGTGTATACTGTTTGCTGGTGTATACTGTTTGTTTGCCGGTGTATACTATTTGCTGGTGTATACTGTTTGCCGGTGTATACTGTTTGTTTGCTGGTGTATACTATTTGCTGGTGTATACTGTTTGCTGGTGTATACTGTTTGCTGGTGTATACTGTTTGCTGGTGTATACTGTTTGCTGGTGTATACTGTTTGTTTGCCGGTGTATACTATTTGCTGGTGTATACTGTTTGCCGGTGTATACTGTTTGTTTGCTGGTGTATACTATTTGCTGGTGTATACTGTTTGCTGGTGTATACTGTTTGCTGGTGTATACTGTTTGCCGGTGTATACTGTTTGTTTGCCGGTGTATACTATTTGCTGGTGTATACTGTTTGCTGGTGTATACTATTTGCCGGTGTATACTGTTTGTTTGCCGGTGTATACTATTTGCTGGTGTATACTGTTTGCCGGTGTATACTGTTTGTTTGCTGGTGTATACTATTTGCTGGTGTATACTGTTTGCTGGTGTATACTGTTTGCTGGTGTATACTGTTTGCCGTTGTATACTGTTTGTTTGCCGGTGTATACTATTTGCTGGTGTATACTGTTTGCCGGTGTATACTGTTTGCTGGTGTATACTGTTTGTTTGCCGGTGTAAACTGTTTGTTTGCCGGTTTATACTATTTGCTGGTGTATACTGTTTGCCGGTGTATACTGTTTGCTGGTGTATACTGTTTGCTGGTGTATACTGTTTGCCGGTGTATACTGTTTGTTTGCCGGTGTATACTGTTTGTTTGCCGGTGTATACTATTTGCTGGTGTATACTGTTTGCTGGTGTATACTGTTTGCTGGTGCATACTGTTTGCTGGTGTATACTGTTTGCTGGTGTATACTGTTTGCCGGTGTATACTGTTTGTTTGCCGGTGTATACTATTTGCTGGTGTATACTGTTTGTTTGCCGGTGTATACTATTTGTTTGCTGGTGTATACTATTTGCCGGTGTATACTGTTTGTTTGCTGGTGTATACTATTTGCTGGTGTATACTGTTTGCCGGTGCATACTGTTTACTGGCCAGTGTATATTATTTGCCGGTGCATACTGTTTGTTTGCCAGTGTATACTATTTGCTGGTGCATACTGTTTGTTTGCCGGTGTATACTATTTGCTGGTGTATACTATTTGCCGGTGTATACTGTTTGTTTGCTGGTGTATACTGTTTGCCGGTGCATACTGTTTGTTTGCCAGTGTATACTATTTGCTGGTGCATACTGTTTGTTTGCCAGTGTATACTATTTGCTGGTGCATACTGTTTGTTTGCCAGTGTATACTATTTGCCAGTGTATACTGTTTGTTTGCCAGTGTATACTATTTGCTGGTGTATACTGTTTGCCGGTGCATACTGTTTGTTTGCCAGTTTATACTATTTGCTGGTGCATACTGTTTGTTTGCCAGTGTATACTATTTGCTGGTGCATACTGTTTGTTTGCCAGTGTATACTATTTGCCAGTGTATACTGTTTGTTTGCCAGTGTATACTATTTGCTGGTGTATACTGTTTGTTTGCTGGTGTATTCAGTTTGCCGGTGTATTCAGTTTGCCGGTGTATTCAGTTTGCCGGTGTATTCAGTTTGCCGGTGTATTCAGTTTGCTGGTGTATTCAGTTTGCCGATGCATACTGTTTGTTTGCCAGTGTATACTATTTGCTGGTGTGTACTGTTTGTTTGCCGGTGTCAGTTTCTACTGACTTGTGTTTGTTTCTCAGTCCTGGTGCTATTTGCCCAGTGATTTGGTTTGCTCTGTGGCTTCAGGCATTTGGCTCAAATAGCAATAATCAATTGGGGGTCACAGTTTAAGTTTCTATACATAATTCATGTGTGGTGTTAGTAAATGTGGCCTAGATTTGATCGTGTCACACATAGACAGTACTGTAAATGTGGCCTAGATTTGATCCTGTCACACATAGACAGTACTGTAAATGTGGCCTAGATTTGATCCTGTCACACATAGACAGTACTGCAAATTTGGCCTAGATTTGATTCTGTCACACATACACAGTACTGCAAATGTGGCCTAGATGTGATCCCGTCACACATAGACAGTACTGCAAATGTGGCCTAGATGTGATCCCGTCACACATAGACAGTACTGTAAATGTGGCCTAGATTTGATCCCGTCACACATAGACAGTACTGTAAATGTGGCCTAGATTTGATCCTGTCTCACATAGACAGTACTGCAAATGTGGCCTAGATTTGATCCTGTCTCACATAGTCAGTACTGCAAATGTGGCCTAGATTTGATCCTGTCTCACATAGACAGTACTGCAAATGTGGCCTAGATTTGATCCTGTCACACATAGACAGTACTGCAAATGTGGCCTAGATGTGATCCCGTCACACATAGACAGTACTGTAAATGTGGCCTAGATTTGATCCTGTCACACATAGACAGTACTGCAAATGTGGCCTAGATGTGATCCTGTCACACATAGACAGTACTGTAAATGTGGCCTAGATTTGATTCCGTCACACATAGACGGTACTGTAAATGTGGCCTAGATTTGATCCCGTCACACATAGACAGTACTGTAAATGTGGCCTAGATTTGATCCTGTCACACATAGACAGTACTGTAAATGTGGCGTAGATTTGATCCCGTCACACATAGACAGTACTGTAAATGTGGCCTAGATTTGATCTTGTCACACATAGACAGTACTGCTTTCATGAGGTTGTAGTAAATGTGGCCTAGTCAGCTGTCAAGTAAAGCTATATGTCTTGTACTTTTGAACAGGTGACCCCTTTTGCAGCAGTCAGTGGGTCAGTGGATGGGACAGTGAGGATCTGGGATCTCATCACAGGCACCTGTGTCCATGTGTTTGACTGGCACCATGCAGCAGTGGTCACCTTGACCATCTCGCCTCTCTACATTGTCAGTGTTGGGCTGGACGATTACATGTGTGTCTGGGACAGGGCCAAGTCAGTGCTTTTGCATAAAATTCATCTGGTAGGTATCCCATTTTCTACACAAATTTAGTGTCATAGGTATCCCATCTTCTACACAAAGTTCATCTGGTAGGTATCACATCTTCTACACAAAGTTAGTGTCATAGGTATCACATCTTCTACACAAAGTTAGTGTCATAGGTATCACATCTTCTACACAAAGTTAGTGTCATAGGTATCACATCTTCTACACAAAGTTAATGTCATAGGTATCACATCTTCTACACAAAGTTAATGTCATAGGTATCACATCTTCTACACAAAGTTAATGTCATAGGTATCACATCTTCTACACAAAGTTAGTATCATAGGTATCACATCTTCTACACAAAGTTAGTGTCATAGGTATCACATCTTCTACACAAAGTTAATGTGGAAGGTATCCTATCTTCTACACAAAGTTCATCTGGTAGGTATCCTATCTTCTACACAAAGTTCATCTGGTAGGTATTCTATCTTCAACCTAAAGTTTATCTGGTAGGAATCCTATCTTCTACATAAAGTTCATCTGGTAGGTATCCCATCTTCAACCTAAAGTTTATCTGGTAGGAATCCTATCTTCTACATAAAGTTCATCTGGTAGGTGTCTTATCTTCAACAAAAAGTTCATCGGGTAGGTGTCCTATCTTCAACAAAAAAGTTCATCTGGGTATCAATCTTCAACAAAAAGTTCATCTGGTAGTTATCCTATCTTCTGCTCATCTGTAGATATCCTATGGTCAATATAATGTTCACCTGTAGATATCCTATAGTCAACATAATGTTCACTTGTAGATATCCTATAGTCAACATAATGTTCACTTGTGGATATCCACCTGTAGATATTCTATAGTCTACATAATGTTCACTTGGTGATATCCTATAGTCAACATAAGGTTCACTTGTAGATATCCTATAGTCACCATAATGTTTACCTGTAGATATCTTATAGTCAACATAATGTTCACCTTTAGATATCCTATAGTCAACATAATGTTCACCTGTAGATATCCTATAATCAACATAATGTTCACTTGTAGATATCCTATAGTCTACATAATGTTCACCTGTAGATATCCTATAGTCAGCATAATGTTCACCTGTAGATGTCCTATAGTTAACATAATGTTCACCTGTAGATATCCTATAGTCAACATAATGTTCACTTGTAGATATCCTATAGTCATCATAATATTCACCTGTAGATATCCTATAGTCAACATAATGTTCACCTGTAGATATCCTATAGTCAACATAATGTTCACTTGTAGATATCCTATAGTCAACATAATGTTCCCCTGTAGATATCCTATAGTCTACATAATGTTTACCTGTAGATATCCTATAGTCTACATAATGTTCACTTGTAGATATCCTATAGTCAACATAATGTTCACTTGTAGATATCCTATAGTCTACATAATGTTCACCTATAGATATCCTATAGTCAGCATAATGTTTATTTGTAGATATCCTATAGTTAACATAATATTCACTTGTAGATATCCTATAGTCAACATGATGTTTACCTGTAGATATCTTATAGTCAACATAATGTTCACCTGTAGATATCTTATAGTCAACATAATGTTCACCTGTAGATATCCTATAGTCAACATAATGTTTACCTGTAGATATCTTATAGTCAACATAATGTTCACCTGTAGATATCTTATAGTCTACATAATGTTCTCTTGTAGATATCCTATAGTCAACATAATGCTCACCTGTAGATATCCTATAGTCAACAAAATGTTCACTTGTAGATATCCTATAGTCTACATAATGTTCACTTGTAGATATCTTATAGTCAACATAATGTTCACCTGTAAATAAGCTATAGTCAACATAATGTTTACTTGTAGATATCCTATAGTCTACATAATGTTCACCTGTAGATATCCTATAGTCTACATAATGTTCACCTGTAGATATCCTATAGTCTACATAATGTTCACTTGTAGATATCCTATAGTCAACATAATGTTCACTTGTAGATATCCTATAGTCTACATAATGTTCACCTATAGATATCCTATAGTCAGCATAATGTTTATTTGTCGATATCCTATAGTTAACATAATATTCACTTGTTGATATCCTATAGTCAACATGATGTTTACCTGTAGATATCTTATAGTCAACATAATGTTCACCTGTAGATATCTTATACTCAACATAATGTTCACCTGTAGATATCCTATAGTCAACATAATGTTTACCTGTAGATATCTTATAGTCAACATAATGTTCACCTGTAGATATCTTATAGTCTACATAATGTTCTCTTGTAGATATCCTATAGTCAACATAATGTTCACCTGTAGATATCCTATAGTCAACAAAATGTTCACTTGTAGATATCCTATAGTCTACATAATGTTCACTTGTAGATATCTTATAGTCAACATAATGTTCACCTGTAAATAAGCTATAGTCAACATAATGTTCACTTGTAGATATCCTATAGTCAACATAATGTTTATCTGTAGATATCTTATAGTCTACATAATGTCCACTTGTAGATATCCTATAGTCAACATAATGTTCACCTGTAGATATCCTATAGTCAACAAAATGTTCACTTGTAGATATCCTATAGTCTACATAATGTTCACTTGTAGATATCTTATAGTCAACATAATGTTTACCTGTAGATATCCTATAGTCTACATAATGTTTACCTGTAGATATCCTATAGTCTACATAATGTTTACCTGTAGATATCCTATAGTCAACAAAATGTTCACTTGTAGATATCCTATAGTCTACATAATGTTCACTTGTAGATATCCTATAGTCTACATAATGTTTACCTGTAGATATCCTATAGTCTACACAATGTTTACCTGTAGATATCCTATAGTCGACATAATATTCACTTGTAGATATCCTATAGTCTACATAATGTTTACCTGTAGATATCCTATAGTCAACAAAAATGTTCACTTGTAGATATCCTATAGTCTACATAATGTTCACCTGTAGATATCCTATAGTCAGCATAATGTTCACCTGTAGATATCCTATAGTCATCATAATATTCACCTGTAGATATCCTATAGTCAACATAATGTTCACTTGTAGATATCCTATAGTCACCATAATGTTCACCTTTAGATATCCTATAGTCAACATAATGTTCACCTGTAGATATCCTATAGTCAACATAATGTTCACTTGTAGATATCTTATAGTCAACATAATGTTCACCTGTAGATATCCTATAGTCAACATAATGTTAACCTGTAGATATCCTATAGTCTACATAATGTTCACTTGTAGATATCTTATAGTCAACATAATGTTCACCTGTAGATATCCTATAGTCTACATAATGTTCACCTGTAGATATCCTATAGTCAACATAATGTTCACCTGTAGATATCCTATAGTCTACATAATGTTCACCTGTAGATATCCTATAGTCAACATAATATTCACTTGTAGATATCCTATAGTCAACATAATGTTTACCTGTAGATATCTTAAAATCAACATAATGTTCACCTGTAGATATCTTATAGTCAACATAATGTTCACCTGTAGATATCCTATAGTCTACATAATGTTCACTTGTAGATATCTTATAGTCAACATAATGTTCACTTGTAGATATCTTATAGTCAACATAATGTTCACCTGTAGATATCCTATAGTCTACATAATGTTCACCTGTAGATATCCTATAGTCAACATAATGTTCACTTGTAGATATCCTATAGTCTACATAATGTTCATTTGTTGATATCTTATAGTCTACATAATGTTCACCTGTAGATATCCTATAGTCTACATAATGTTCATTTGTAGATATCTTATAGTCTACATAATGTTCACCTGTAGATATAGTAGTCAGTAAGGAAGAAATATGGATGTGAGTTGTGGACTGTCCTGTAGTCAGTAAGGAAGAAATATGGATGTGAGTTTACTGTCCTGTAGTTGGTAAGGAAGAAATAGGGATGTGAGTTGTTTACTGTCCTGTAGTCAGTAAGGAAGAAATATGGATGTGAGTTTTTTACTGTCCTGTAGTCAGTAAAGAAGAAATATGGATGTTGTTTACTGTCCTGTAGTCAGTAAAGAAGAAATATAGATGTTAGTTGTTTACTGTCTTGTAGTCAGTAAGGAAGAACTTTGTTGTACACACTGGTGATGGACTTTGTTGTACACACTGGTGATGGGCTTTGTTGTACACACTGGTGATGGGCTTTGTTGTACACACTGGTGATGGGCTTTGTTGTACACACTGGTGATGGGCTTGTTGTACACACTGGTGATGGGCTTTGTTGTACACACTGGTGATGGACTTTGTTGTACACACTGGTGATGGGCTTTGTTGTACACACTGGTGATGGGCTTTGTTGTACACACTGGTGATGGACTTTGTTGTACACACTGGTGATGGGCTTTGTTGTACACACTGGTGATGGGCTTTGCTGTACACACTGGTGATGGACTTTGTTGTACACACTGGTGATGGACTTTGTTGTACACACTGGTGATGGGCTTTGTTGTACACACTGGTGATGGACTTTGTTGTACACACTGGTGATGGGCTTTGTTGTACACACTGGTGATGGAGTTTGTGACTTGACATCTCCACAGGAGCAGGCTGGGGTCGGCACTGCTACACTCATGTCCAGGAATCTCATTGTCACAGGTGGTCAGGTAAGAGTAGCACCATTTGCTGTCTGTATTCTCTCAGCTCTGTCCATGTTCTGTGAAGACTCTGTCTATAGTCTATGAGCTTTGTTGGCATTCTATGACATCTCTGTCTATGAGCTGTGAGCTCTTTCTGCATTCTATGAAAACTGTATCTTTATTCTATCCGCTCTGTCGGCATTCTATGACAACTCTGTCTATAGTCTATGAACCTTTTCCACATTCTATGACAACTCTGTCTATAGTCTATAAGCCTTTTCCACATTCTATGACAACTCTGTCTATATTCTATGACAACTCTGTCTATAGTCTATGAGCTCTGTCGGCATTTTGTGACGGCTCTCTCTATATTCTGTGATA